AGTGTAAATAATTGTAACTCTCTGTTGCCTTTACTTAGTTTAGTGGCTCTCCAATATTTGAATTTATGTAAAATTTTACACATGGATTTCTAAAACAAAAATATCAATGTATTTCTTAACATCATTGAAAAATGAGGAAAATGAACATTTTATGATTTGACTTAATTTCAGGTCATATTACACTTGTATGATCACCAAAGTTAAGCAATGTTGAGCCTGGTCAATACATTGATGGTTGACCACTTGGAAATACCAAGTACTTTATGCTTGGATGTGTGGGGTGGAGGGGTGGTATAATGGCTAGGAATTGGAAATTGGAGAGTCTAGTTTCAACTACAGTCTGGTTCATTATATTCACACATCCAAATATCCTTGGGAAAGGTATGAATCCACTTCTCCCCCAAGCTATGGGTTAATTAGTAGGACCTGTATCAGTAAATCATTATCTCAAAAAATTTTTATCTAAAAATATTTTCTTGCTATAAATAACCTGCAAAAGGCTGATACCCCCCCCAAAAAAAAACAAATCAATCAATATAAACCCAAATACTTGAAATATGGGACTGTTAGCATTTCAACTAAACTTTTAGTAAAGCACAGTTACTCAATAATTTTCACATGCATGTGATAAATTTTGTTCCTTACATGTAATAAATTGTGTTAGTTGGTCTTTTCAGTTTTTCTTTATATAAGTAGATTAAAAATAACTCTTAATCCAGATATGCTTAGGATTATAGCATGTCCGTAATCCCAAATCTCATTTGAATCATGAAGTTGAGCATTTGTGCATGGAAATCTATTGGATAGGTGATTCTAGATATTTTTCAAACAGTTGTTATCAGCACAGTTTTAAACACACAAGTTAATTTGATCTCAGTCCTCTGGAAGTCCAAAATAATAAAGACAAACTAATAGAATAATTTGTTAAAAAAATGAATGCACAAGTAAAGCAACTATAGATTTTATCATCTGGAAATTAGTGCTCTGAAAGACTTAATAGCTATTAAGGATAGTTTATATCAGAAACCAAATATCAGGCTTATCAACTGTGTCACTTAAAAAAATCAAGCATTAGTCTATAATATAGGTCAGTGTCATTAAGCAGTGCACCAATAAACAATGATGTCACTTAAGCCACACATGTGCAATGGACCCCAAAATTTTTTGTCATGTTCATATTAGAATATTTAGCCGCCCCCCTCCCCCGCCACCACCACCACGAGGGTTGCATGTGGCACAAGGCTGGGTTTAACGTGGGTTCTTGGCCACAAATATTCCCTTTCGAACCCGTATAAATGGGTTCAGGATCAGTCAACCTACCCGAACGAGACTCTGCCCTTTGGCAGAGCCTTGTCCAGGTTCCTCTCTGCCCAAAGGCAGAGTGTTCGACTGTTTAGCCAAAAAGATTTGTCATGTTCATATTAGAATCATAATCATCAGTGAATCCCAATTTGAAACAAATTCAAACTTGATTGTAACACATTTTAAAGTGTTTTTTTTTTTTTTTTTGTTTTTGTTTTCTGTATAATCTTTTATTTTAATAAATTCAATAAATTGAGTATTAATACCTTCAGTATATCTGTACTTTCCCAGGTATTTACTATTGTTTACACTTTGGCATTTCACACTCACAATTGTGTAGTGGTTTGGATTAGCCCTTAACAGATATTTGGAGTGTGAAATATGCAGCTTACAACTTTTATTCTAACTTAAAAATTTCACATATTTACTCAACAGGATTTGCTTTAATGTCTATAAATATCTTTGTAATGTTTTTATTCAAAATCTTAATAAAACTATAAAAAAATTTTTTTTTTTTTTTTTTGTTAAAATGTTAAAATCTTGTGCGTACACGATTTCTACCATCTTTTGCTATCATTGATGATGGATCTATTGACATGACGCTTTATAATTGGTATCATTTTAGGCCATTGTCTTTCAAATTTATTCACATTGGTGCACATTTTTATGTGAAATTAAAGGATAGTTTTAAATGTTTTTCAAAACTGCCAATCTTCAACTCTTAGTATTGAATACAGATTTGGCACTGTGTTATTTTCGTGGATAACTCCATGGACTTCACAAGCTTTGTTTTGGTGGCCTAAGCTGTCAAACCTGACATCGCGACTGACTTTTGATCTAAACCACGGATAGAAGTTTTAGACCCCAGCTACCGCGGTTTATTGGTGCCAACCTGTACTTCAGTTTATGATTGTTGAATTTGTTTGTTTAAATTGAAGATATAGACAAGAGGGAGAAATGAAAAATGAAAAGACTGGTTATAATGTATATTTTTTAGTTGGTATATTAGCTGTGTCTGGAAGATGATGGGAAGACAGTTGTTTGAAGAAATATATATTTATTTTTTTATTTTTTTTTTTTTTTTAAGCATTTCACCCCAAGCAAAGCGGGAAGCCACTAGGACGCAAGGGGTTACAGAAAATTTAGAGCAAGATCAGATAGGAGTGATAGAAGAAAGGATGAGGGTAGTGGATAGATCAAGGCAACTGGAGATGTCGATTGACATTACACTTGAATCTGGAATAATAGAAATGCTTAATTTCAGAACTTTTGGAATGACTAATTGACCATTTTGGAAATGAGAAAGGTTCAAGGAAAGATCAATGTCATAATTATTATTTGATATTTAGAATCTGTTACTATTTGTATATGGAATGTAGTTATTTGTTGATTGTTTGTATTGCAGATGTCTAATTAAATACTTTTGATAGTAATACTATTTTAAAATCATTTTTAAATATATTCTTTCAACAATAGGAATTATTTTGAAAGCAAGATTAGATGACTGAATACATATTTAGTCTGAATTTCTGTGATGAGGAGTTATCATTATTTACAATGAAACTTCATCTTTGTTGTTATTACTACAATGTTTTAGGTATTGTATCCTTCTTGTTTTGATTCTAGTAACTTTCAGGGAATTTCAAACCTAACTCTTTATTTAATCAATGGGGATAGATTGTTCTTATTTCCCTGCTCATGCCTCTTACCTTTTTTTTCTTTTTTTTCTTTCTTTTTTTTTTTTTTCTTTTTTTTTTTTTTTTTTTTTTTTTTTTTTTCTTTTTTTTCTTTTTTTTCTTTTTTTCTTCTTTTTCTTCTTTTTCTTTTTTTTTCTTTTTTTTCTTTTTTTTTCTTCTTTTCTTTTTTTCTTCTTTTCTTTTTTTTTTTTTTCTTTTTTTTTTTTTCTTTTTTTTTTTTTTTTTTTTTTTCTTTTTTTTTTCTTTTCTTCTTTTCTTTTTTCTTCTTTTCTTTTTTCTTCTTTTTTCTTTTTTTTCTTTTTCTTTTTTTTTCTTTTTTTTTTTTTTTCTTCTTTTTCTTTTTTTCTTCTTTTTCTTTTTTTCTTCTTTTTCTTTTTTTCTTCTTTTTCTTTTTTTCTTTCACTCCAAGCAAAGTGTTAATACCACTAAAACACAAGGGTCTACTGGGAGTGAAAGAGAATGAGAAAACTTTAGAAGGAACTGGGAGCCCAAACCTAAATGGGAAACATGGGATAAACTTCTTCTCCTCTTCAGAACACCAGGGAGGAGTGTAAACTGGAAAATAGGTGAGCATACCTACTCCTATTGGAGAGGTGGGGGTGGGTTGTAAATAAAATTTCGGAGTTTAGATGGAGATGTCAGTAGAATTGGAAGTAGACTTTAGAAGAAATTGGGAAACCTAATTCTAAACCAGAAACAAAGGATAAACATCTCCTTCTGTTTAAATGACCAGCAAGTGGTGGGAACCACTGACTCTGAATTTGTACTTAGCCCAGGGATTTGAACTCCTGGTTACTATTCCAACAAAAGAACACTGGAGGGCACAACAGCAAAGACGTAGTAATAACAACAAAGATGAGGATATTAATTTGTGTGTAAATAACTTGCATTCTAGACAATAAGATGTTTATGTGGCTATGATAAAAACATTTTTTTTTCTATTTTTTCTGGAAAAATGCTGTCAAATGTCTTAAATAGATGTGCTAACATTATTAATTAATAATGCACTCCCTCTCCCCACTGCCCAAAATTAAAAAAAAAAAAAAAAAATTCACAAAAAATAGTTCAGGTATGCTTTAGCTTATATGCTCTGTTGTCTGTCTTTAGAAACCGACATGTAATAACCTTTTGAGACATACAGGTAAAGCCTAAATACACTTGGGGATTAATTAGCATAATCAATTAAAAAAATGTTCTGTTAAAAATTACTAATTAACTGTTACAATTACAAGTATATTTTTATGAGTTCAGGATGATAATATTAATATCTTTATCTTCATTTTTTTTCTTTTAGCATTGCAGATGGCATGCATTTTCATTAATTTTCCCAGCTAATAAACAGCCTGCCAATAGAAACTTTATATTAAGATGAAGAAATTTGCTGAAAATGTCAGTATGAAATAATGCTTGCATTCTTGCTGGTTACTTAAAATGTCAGCATTCTCTTCATCATTGCTGTTTAAATCAATGTTTGGTCATGGCCTTATGATTAAGATTGCTATGCTTTGTGATCATAATGTCTCTGCAAGTTCAGTGGAGAATAACTTTGAGACGTTTCCTCTATTGCAAATGACAACTGATAAATGCAACAAAAATAGAAAATTAAGTACTTGCAAGAACACCTGTAATAAACACTTTTAACACTTTTTCAAATAGCTCTAACTTGATCACTTTTTTATTTTTTGCTTGCAACTTGAAAATAATTTATTACAACCTCATGTTCAAAACATTTGAGGATGACTCGTCTAGAATATCTTCAAAATTTAAATCTGTCAGTTTTTTTTTGTCTTTTTTTTAAATAAAAAATTTTTTTTTTTTTTTTTTTAAATCAGGCTTGTGTATATTATTATCTCACAACAATACTAGATTAAAACCCAAGTTATTCTGACATTTTTCTGCCAGCAGAAAATGATTTTTGCAAATGTTTTTTTTTTTTCTGAATTAATTTTTTTATGTAATGAGCAATAAGTAACTTTTTGTTTTTCTTTTTATCTCTTGCAGAACAATTGAAGATTCTATAGGGACACCTCTTTTTGTGATATTTAGGTCAGTAGTTCTCTACCTTTTATAGTCCGTAAACATGTTTGTAATGTATAAAATAACAATTCCATGCATCTGTTGTAACATTTTCATGAAATTTTACCATTTAAACTTAAGTATGGTTGAGATTTTTGTGTGTGTTTTGTTTTGAGATCCAGGCATTATGTCAGTGAACTCAGTGTAAACACTGAAAGGATTTTCAATCTGCTTTTTTACAGAAATAGATTTATACAGATTTCTATATTATTCCAAGAACTTCTTTTGTATTTTCTGTTTAGTAGATAGATATGTTATTTTTCTTTCTGTAAATTTCAGTGTAATAATTTTTTGTTTTCTGATTTAAAACAATATAGCGAGAGGACTTGTTTAGTACATATGCGACTGTTAAGTAATGATTTGGAAAAAGAATGATGAAAAACATCTAATCATTACTAATCATTATGAGAATAATGTAGTCTATAGCCCTAAGTGTTGGAAATGTTTATATATTGAACTTTGTTATGATTGAAAATGACATAATTTATATCACTAAAATGAAACAAACTAGGCTTTCATTTACATTTGTTTTATTACCTAACATTCAAATAAAGTACAACAAATTTCTTTTGTTTTTCTTTCAGTTTTCTCTTGTTTATGTAAAATTAAAATGCAAAAATGATCTGGTATTATGAATGTTATTTAATCAACACACGATCAAAACTTTGTGCAATATGAACTGTGAGAATTTTGTTTCTTAATTGTTCCATCTTGCTCCTTTGTTGGTTATTTAAAATTACTTGTTACTTTCTCATTCTTTGTGGCATAATGTTTTTTTTTCCTTTCTATTTCTTTTAGACCATATTCTCTCGCAGTCATTTTTCTTTGTTTCATAAAAGTGACTATATTTTTTTTCATTTCCTCCTTTTTCTAGAAACTTCTGCTCAACTGCTGAAGAAGATCCTATTAGGCAACCATTATTATTCTTAATGGATGAGATGTACCAAAAACAGCCACATATTGGCTACCATATGCTGTACTTTCTTAAAGTCAGGTAAGCTTCATTACAACAACTTTCTTACTTGTTTAAGTTATCTAGATGTTATTGTTAATAGTCTACAAAAAGTATCCTTAAAGAACTTGACTGATTTTTAAGCAAATTTATTTTACTTATGTTGTGGTATTTTTTTTTAATGAAGTATCAGATTAGCAAAGATTAACTGATATCAATATTTTAATCTTCTTGAAGGTGGCTTATCTTGCTTTGAGATTTTCTTCAGCTCTTTTTGCTTCTCTTCTCAGATGTACAGCTTTTTAGAAGATTTTAAAGATTTAGAGTCATAGCCTGACTGATAGGAACAGGACAGACAACATACAACAAAAACCATAAAAACTAAGTAAACCTGCTTGAAGAAATTTGTTACAAATTATAGATTTTTATTTATTTTTTTATTAACATTATATAGATATTTTGGATATTACTTTGCTCATATTCTATATATTTAAAATTACAAATTTGTCTAGTTGTTTATTAGCTCTGTACTGTTAATCAGATAAACTCTCCAAATGGGATATCTCTTACTTTCTACCTTTGCTTGAAAATGACCAACAATTGTTGAAAGTATTCAAAACATTACACAACCATTTTGGTATTTTCTCTCACAAGTTTCCATCTGACATCAAACAATTTATTTGATACCAGGAGAAACATACTGAAAGGCTTAACAGATGTTCTGTCTGTTCTATTTAATAAGACACATTTAAATGAAGAAATGCTGCCTAAATATTTATTACCATATTTTCTTATGCATAATACAAGAAATTTTGAATGTAAATTAAAGGCAAAAAATGTGGGTCATATTATACACAAGTACGTGTTTTCAAAATTTTTTACTCAGCTTAAAAAAACCTTTTACTTGAAATGTCAAGATTGCAAATACACTCAGCATAATAGATAATAAAACACAAAGTAGACAGTTGTTTACAAAGGGGTTTTGATATGTCAGCAATACTTTTTCTTTGGGAATCAGCGTAATGTGTAAAATTATAAGTTTTTCTCACAAGATAAAGATTTTGAGTTTCTTGTTTTTTCTTATGTATTTTTCTCTTTTGATTCTTAATGAAAGACTATATTTTTTTTATTTTCGTACTTTATTAATATATAGAAATATAATAAAGTCATATCAAACAGAAATATATGATAGATTAATCAACACCTTAAAATGTATTAGTGGGTATGTCTTTCCCCCAAAGTTTGAGTCCTGGATAAGACGATAAACTACATCCAACAGCAAGACCTCTGATCAGGAGGTTTTGAGGAGCATGGAACCACCTCTTGATTGCTGGTGTTCCCAGGTCCACCTTGACTGCAGACCTGTTAGGGTCCTAGCTATGGGCAAATAGTTAACTTCCAAACTGGAGTCAAATCACCTATGAAAGTGTAAAAATACGTTTTAATACCAGCTATACATTTTTAGAAATATTACCAGCAATATATTTTTGAAAAAATAAAATATTACCAGCAATAAAAATCTTGTTGGCATTAAATAACTCACTGAGCTTGATATACTGTAAAACAAACCAAAGTTTGAAAATGTTTTGAAATGGCAATTAGAAGAAACATGCAATAGCTAAACATCCGGCTCATTCCTATTCTTTAATATCATGAAAAATTAAATATTTTAATGAAATATATGTACAACATTGAGATTTTAATGGATATTATGGTATAACATAAAAAAACATAGGGATGACTGTATTACAAGGTCATATTATAGTTAAACATATAATTTTTTCCCTGTTTTTAGCTTCAGAAACATAGAGTTGTATTATACACCAGAAAATACGGCAAATCGAAATTTAAGTACTAGTCTGCTCAAGAGAAGAAAAAAATCACTAAGTTGAAAATGCATTGAGAGCGTGCTGATCTCAGAGTTCCAAATGAAAACCTAAGACCAAGCTCGTACAATTCTATCACTGATCATTGCAAAAGCATTAGTGGCACAATGCAGTATGCAATCTGGTGGAGAAAGGAACAGCTTTGGATAAAATGCCCAAACTTAGTGTCTTTGTTCTGTTTCGTCTTTGTTGAGTATGTTTGACTGTTTTAATCATTATAAAGACGTAAAAGTTGTTAGTACCATAAACAAGAGTTTGTCAGCTACACCTTGGCATTTTTTTTTTTTTAAATGTTAAATTTAAATATGTATATTATATATGAAGTCATATATAGAATGATTTCACAGAGCTTAACAATCTCAGAAATGAGTACATAAAACAAAATTTGAACTATGGACAGTTTACCCAGAATTTTGATCTGAATGGACAAAAGTTTATTTGTTAAAATTTGAAAAAATACAATAAAAAATTTAGACAGACCCTGTCAGTTAAATTTAATTCAATTTGTTTTTAAATGAACTCTGGGCACACACACACGCACACACACACACACACACATTTCTGAAGGAATTTTTTTATGCAAAATTATTTCTTATTTCTATAAACGTTATTTTTAGTGGGTACACAGAGACCAGCCAGCCTGACAGAGCAAGGTTCAAATTCCCTATTTAAAGTTACCATGGCCAAATTGGTAGTGGTATGCTTTGGCTAAAAAAGTAGTTTTCCTGATGGAAAAAGGCATACAAATTCAATTCCTGTTGGAGATACCATTTTTCTTTAGTAGGTCTTAATCTAGGCCAGTTGTTATTAGTTAAAAAAAAAAAAACGAAACAAAAAAAAGAAACACAGATAGCCACTGAAACCTATGTTACCCACTAAGAATAATGTTTATAGTAATAAGAATTATATAGCTGTATAAAATCAATCTCACTTTATCTGGGTTTGATTTGCTGTTAAAAATTATCAGTCATTTGTAGTTAAAAGTAAATATTTAAAATTTGTAATTTTTTTTTTCTCTCTTTCTAGCAAGGTGAACGATGACAAGATGTCCAGTTACAGAGATTTTTGCAAAAGTTTGGATGGTAAAGATTTGGAAACTTGTCTGATGAATGATCTGAGAGTAACTATCTTTTCATGCTGATCCATTTTTTATTTTTTTATTTTTTAATACTTTCTGCAATTGCATTTTAAATGTCTTGCTCAACAATTATTCAAACTTGATATAATTATTTCACCATAATTTCACTTTTTATTTTTTTCCTCCCCTCAGTTATGTCAAGAAGATGATGTCCGACTCTTTACATATTTGTTACCGGATGTTTACACACATGTAAGTATCTAACAACCATCACTCTATTCTTTTTACATGTAATCATATGTCTTTAACCTTTCCCCCACTTAACCTTTAACACTCTGCATTATTAATATTACTTCTCTTTCCACTACGTTCTTTTTCAAGGCCTCTCAATTGCAGGATCCTTATTGTTAATTTCATTCAAAGTGTTTTTTTTTTTGTTTTGTTTTTTTGCCATAGCAGGATATGAAATTCAAACAAATTTAAATTCAGGGATCAGTCACCTTCAATGGCAGGGTAAACTTTTTGCACAGCAAATGAAGTGACATACAGTGTGATAAAGGTTAAATAGAGTTTTATTAGATAGTCCTTCTGTAAAGTTATGCTTTAATAATGGTAATATCACAAAGAATATTCACTTTGCACTTGCTGCTCCCAAATCCATAAACTTTTCGCTTGAGTAGTCGCTCATATTTTAACCTTGACTTATGCCATTTATTTTTGGCTTGATTTAAGTAAATTGGTCCATGCGTTAAAAAAAAAAAAAATAGGGGAATTTTTGTGGGGAAATAAATTTTGTAGATTAGTATTTATTAGACTGTGAAGTCACAGTATTTGTCAGAATGGAATTTTTTTTTTTTTTTTTGTTTTTCCAGTCATTTTAAAAGTGAAATCTGCTTTATAATATAAATACAATGGAAACATTGTTGCATGGCTTTTAAGGAGTTGTCTGTACTTAGTTAAAGAATAACCGGATTCATTTTTAAGAAGATATTTTAAACATGCAATTGTTTGTCTGGTGGAATATTTTTTAGTTATTTTTTTACAAGATTTTTTGTCATTAAAGAACATTTTTGATGAAGTATCAGATTAGCAAAGATTAACTGATATCAATATTTTAATCTTCTTAAAGGTGGATTATCTTGCTTTGAGATTTTCTTCAGCTCTTCTCAGATGTACAGCTTTTTGGAAGATTTTAAAGATATATACCTGTCGATGAGGTATTGTAATTATTTACATTGTTTGGATTGTTGTCCTCAACTTTATTGTCATATATATGAATATGGCAATAAAGGTGGGACAACAGTCTGAACAATGTAAATAAAGATATATACATTTTAAATTAAAGAACAAATTGATATATAAATTTTCTAAACAAGTAATTGTTTACCAAGTAATCATTCTTTTTTTTTTTTTAATATTCTACAATAGGATTCATTTTAATTAAAGAATAGATGGATATATACATTTTTAATTAAAACCGAAAATTTACATAAATCAATAAAAAGTATATATCCATTTATCTTTCTCTTAAGATAAATAATTATTTCCCCAATGTTTGTGTATGTGTACTTCCCCCAAAAATCTCCCCAATATTTTAAAAATTCAGAATGTAAAAAAAAAAAAAAGAAGATATCAATATTATAAGCAGTTTAAACTTGGCATTTGTAAATAACTTCTCAGTCCAGATAACTGTGTAAAAAGTCAGAGATCAGTTTAAATTTGTTTTTATATTATGGAGTGGACCCTCCCTTCTAAAATGATTAAAAAAAAAAAAAAAAAAATCAATATTTTTCCATTCCGACAAAGATTGTGACTTTGAGGAAGTTTTAATAAAGGCTAATTTGCAAAGATTATTCCCTACCTCACACCAAAATTATTCCCTTTTTTTTTTTTTTTTTTTTTTTTTGGACCAGTCTTATGTAAGTAATGTCATTTTTTTTCCATAGTTTTCAGATTTTTAATGCTTCATTTTCCTTGTTGTGCCAAGGTACCAACACTATATCTTAATTAATTTTGGTACAAATGACTGTTTTAACATTGTTTCATATATGAGACAAGGATATCATAGGTGGTATTTATTATCCACAACCCACTGGTGTGTCGTTTGGTACCAGAGTCCATTTTACAACCCAGAGTCCCACATGAATGCATGATACAGTATGTAAATAAAAAAAAAAAAAAAAAAAAAATATGAACCAAAAACAGAAATTATAAAATGAAAATGAAATAAGACTAAAGAAAAAGTGTGGTAAGCAATAAATCATGGCACCCCACTCCTAATAAACCTCATAGAAATGAAATTGGAAAACAACCCACTGGAGGGTTGTGTGTTGGCCTTGCAGACATACCACCATGACCCTCCAGTGGGTCATTTAGGAGCCAGTGTTAATGATTTTTCTAATGACATGTATTGTAATTTAACTCTTAGATCATGTTTGTTTCAGCCTCATTTGTGTGATAGAACATAATTTGTAATTTCCAAAGAATGTGTGATCCTCTAAAATTTTGGCTACAGAAAACTATAAAAGGTGGAGTGGGAACTGAACTTAATTTTGGCTGATAGGAAATTGTACAGTATATCTTATTATGAATCTATTTATAGAGACAGCGGATTCAGTTTATCTGTGAAATGGTAAACCATTTGACTGGTTGATCGCAGTAAGTGTGAAATTGAAAACATTAGTATCTCGAATAAGTAATTCCCAGCAATGATGTAACTCTAGACAAGTTTTAATTTTAGGCCATGTTTATTCTACTTTCATCTTAAAAATAGGATTGGTCAGAGAACATACAATCATTCTTCTTGTCTGTTCCAAGACAACTGATAAAGAAAATACCTACTTCCCTTTAGTTGTCCTTTCCAGGCCAGGAGGTTTCAAAATTAATATTAGCTTGAACCAAAGGAAGCCAATTGCCCCAGGTAGTAGTACTTCTTCAGGAAGGACCCAGGGTCATTACCCAGTGCCCAAGTCATCCTTGAAAGGAGAAGTACAGTGGAGAATTGAGCAGTTTTTGTACAGTTATACCAAATCCCATATTAAACTTGACCATGTCACATTCTGTGCAATATGGTAACATGATTAAATTCTTACTTTCTTTGAGTTGTGAAAATGTCTTTATGCATGAAAATATCCATTATTCACTCTTATTTGCTTTTTCTTTATGTTGGATTAAATGATCTGAAATGATTTCCAATATTTTAAATAAAATGGAAATTGACAAATTTATTTCGAAATACAGGTTGAGAATCCTTTATCCAAAATTTTTGGGAATGGAAGTGCTTTGATTTTTAGAATTTTTTTAGATATTGAAATACAGGTTATTTCTAAAATGGGGCATCTTGGGAATGGAACCTGAGTATAAACATGATACCCCTTTACATTTCATTATGCAGCTTATACATATACCATGAAAGTAGCTTTTTATAAAATTTAATAAATTTTGTATACATACAGATATGGGTAATTACATTAGTCATGTAATGCTCGCATGGATTATTAAGTGTTGAAATTAAGATTTCACCTAAAAAAATAATGTTTTCTACTTTTGGTACATGTACAAAAAACCATGATCACTACTTACAAAAAATATATAAATGCAGGACATTTTGACATTTTAAATAATATCTTTACTGAGCACAAAACACCTGGTAAGTAATCCATGAATGGAGGTGTTGCCGAGATAGTTGCTAACAAAAACCTGGCGGTTACATAGCTTGGGGCAGATGAAGTCACTTACAACAGCTGCACATCACCTAGGAACCTTTCCAGTGCATTTCTGAAATTTTCCATTTGTGGTAAGTCATGTCAGCACCTGAAAAACTTTTGGATGTTGGAGGTTTTCAGATATAAGATACTCAGCCTGTAATGAGTTTCTCACAAAAGTAATGAATTGAATTTGTCTTCATTTGAAAGTTTATTAAATATAAACAATTGTTTTGTTTTTCTAATTGCAGTTTCCAAACATAGCAGTTGGAAATATAGAACTACTACATTTGATTGTATCTTCAATTGATGGTACACAAGTGAGTTATCACCTTTACAGGCAATTCTTTGTTTTTTTTTTTTAATTTTTTCTTTTAAACTCCATTTTTACTCATCGTTAAATAGTGAACTTAAATTAAAAATGAAACAAAATAATTTACTAATTTTGCAGATTATAATCAGCTTATGATTAGAAACTAATTGTAGTCAATGAAATCTTTGTTTTATTTGGAACTCAGATGTATCATAACACTTTAAGACGGGTTGGCAACCTACATCACATGTAGCACACCATGCTATTTCCAATGTCATGCAACTGCAAGTGACATCACAAAGTCCAAAGCAATAACTACTACAACATGAAGATATTTAGCTGTTTCAATTTTAATATATATTAAAGTATGTAAGCAAATATATGGATATAGATCTGACAGTATGAAGAAAAATATACAGAAAAAAAACAAACAAAAATCCTAATATGCAATTATGCTGTTTTAATGTTAATATAATGTCAACGTTGGACGTTTCGGTCTAATAAAAGATTTCAGTTATCTGTTTGGATTGGTCTTGCTCTTATGTCCACTGTCTTTTTCATGTTGAATTGAATATGGTCTCTGTTACTTATGTTTTATGAATGTCCTGAAGATGGTCTATTAGACCGAAACGTCCGACGTTGACATTATTGTTGAAGCTTAAATAAGCATGGAATAATACAACACAAAATGTACGTTAACAAAATGTATTGAAACAAAGAATAGGTACACAATATTTACAGTTAGTTTGGTATATTCTTGGGAAGACTGTTCCTGCATAATGGGTTGACTAAATCGCAGTCGGGCAGAGTCTCTGGATTCAATTCCTTAATCTCTACTATCTTCCCGTCTTCCGGTACCAACCCATATTTATATGGTCGGTAGTCCGCTTATGTAAATTAGGTGTATCATACACAACACCCTCCTCCCAAGCCTTGGAATCCTTTTGGATTTCAAACTGGCTTCCTATATGGGTTGATGATTATGGCTATTTCTTTGTAGATCCATTTGCCTAATTTTAATATTTTTTTCGTTTTGGATTCACGTTCAATGGGTCCGTCAACTTCCGTTTCCTACCGGATCTTCTTGGTTCAGGTGTATTCTGTGGAGGTTCTACCTGAAACATATCATACATTATATCAATGGGATCTTCGTCCTCATCCGGTATACACTCTTCTTGCTCTATACCGTAATCTTTTTTAAGTTGGTTTTGGTGCCTTTTATAAGTATTCTTCGCCCTTTAATTATGTAAATCAGGTCACCGATTCTCTTGTCCACTATGCCTCGCTCCCAGAACTCAACGTTGTTTTTATAGCACTTGAAAACACCTTCTCTCCGGGAGTGTATCTTTTTCTCGCTGTATACATGGTATTTTTTTACTGTATTTTTCCTGGCAAAAAGCTTGTCAAACACTGACTTAACTTTCCTAGCGAACATTAGTTCAGCTGGTGCCATGTTTGAATGTGTTCTCTGGTTTGGCGTGATTCTGTATACTTGTAAGAATTGCTGAAGCGCTTTTTTCCGTTGGAACTCCTGAGGCTTTCTTCAGAGCTCGTTTTAAAGTATCGACAAATCTTTCTGCGAGTCCATTAGACCTCGGATGATACGGAGAAAGGCGTCGTTATGTGGTTAATTTGATATAACTCACAAAATTCTTTAAATTCTTCAGAAGTGAATTGTGTACCATTGTCACTCACAATACACTCTGGCACACCGAACCGTGCAAATAGTTCATGCAAAAAAGTTGTTGTGGTATTGGACGAGGCTTTTTACAGCGTAGTACTTCCGCCATTTTGTAAAACTATCTACCACTATTAAGTAGTAAAATCTTCTACTGGACCAGCGAAATCAATGTGTAATCTTGTCCACGGATGATCCGTCTTGGGCCATGGTTTTGTACTATAGGTGGTGCCTTAGCTGCTAACGCACCCCCCTTACATCGATGAACCATGTTTTCGATATCCACATCCATTCCTTTCAATACACAAAGCTTCGCATTAAGCTTTTTTGTTCTATTAACCCCGGTGACCCATATGAAAGACCCAAGTATTCTTTTTCTGCAACTTTTTTGGTATTACTACTCTCTCACCATATAATAAAAACTCCATCACCTATTGAAAAAATCTCCTGCACTTTTTTGGTCATTTGCTACCATTTTGTTTTTTAATTTCTAAATGAAATCATCGCTTTCAGCTTCTTTTTTAATTTCATTTAGCGTAACCGGTAGCTCTCTTACAATGTTGTTTACCATGCTTTTCACCTCATAATCTGCTCTGATATTTGCAATAATTGATTCTTGAATCTTTCTTCTTGCCTTGGTACTAGTCTTGATAGACTATCCGCATGAATTATCTTTTTTTGGATGATAGGTGCTTTATGTGAAAATCATAATTGAGAAGAATGGTTCCCCATCTTAACAGACGATTTGCTGTATAAACGGGTAACCCTTTCTTTGAACCAAAAATGGTGATCAGTGGTTTATGATCCGTTTCAAGGATAAAATGTCTGCCGTGGATGTACCTGTGAAATTTTTGTATGGCAAAATGATACTCAGTGCCTCTTTTTTCTATCTGAGAGTAACTTTTCTCCTGGGAGCAAAGTTCTCAAGCGCGTGTAATTGGTTTTCTAGAACCATCTGGCATTATGTGTTGAATACACGCTCCTATCCCGTATGAACTAGCGTCACTTGCCACTACAATATCCAGTTTTGGATTGTAATGGGTTAAAAAGAGGTCGGACGTAAGCATTTTTTTTTTATTTCATCAAAGGCTTTCTGACATTCTACCGTCCATTCCCATGCCTTTGTCTTTTTTAGCAGTTCATTCAACGGAGCTCTTAAATTGTACATTCCTTTAATGAACGCTTGATAATAATTTGCAAGCCCTAGAAAACTTTGTAGCATCGCCACATTAGTGGGCGTCGGCATGTCTCTAATCGCAATGGACCTTTCCGGATCTGGACATCTGCCATTTTGTTGATTATGTGCCCTAAATACTTAATTTCCTCCAAACCAAATTGACTTTTGACTCTTTGACTTTAAATCCAAAGTCCTGAATTTTTTTAAATACTTGATTGAGATGCTCTCGATGTTCGTCAATCGATTCGCTCCTTACTATGATGTCGTCTAAGTAAGCGCACGCAAAGTCTAAATCATTCAGCATGACGTCCATAGCTTGTTGAAAAATGGCAGGTGCCACTTTAATACCAAAAGGAAGCCTGTTGTACTTGAATAACCCTCTATGCGTGTTTATCCCTAGTAACTTCGAACATTCCTCTTCGACGGGAATTTGGAGATAGGCATCTGATAAGTCAATTTTTGAAAAATATAACTCCACCATTTAGCTTGTTAAAAATCTCCTCCGGACTCGGGTAACGGGTAATGGTAGTCCTTAATTACCGAAGTTCAACCCTGTCGAAAAATCAACGCAGACTCTGACTTGGTTTGATTTCTTTTTTATGCACACAATCGGGCGCAGCCCATGAATTAGATTCTACTTTCAAATAATTCCCATTTTTTCCAACCTATCAAGTTCTTCGTTAATTTTCTCTACACTTGCGAAAGGCACAGTACGTTTTTTTTTTTTTAAAATTGGCATAGTATTTTCCTTTAATTCGAATTTGGCTTCAAACTTGTTACATCTTCCAAGACCAGGTGTGAAAGTTTCCGAAACTTTTTTTTAATTCCTCAATAATGTCCTGTCTTGTTTATGACATTACTTTCTACTTTTCTGCAGAAAGAGTTTAACGGTTTATCCCACAATTCAATGTTTCAATAAAATCTGTACCCATCAAGTTTTTCCATTTTTCAGAATGAAAACTTTTATTTTTTTAACTATCCCGTTCAATTTCATAGGAAGTACAACCTCGCCTTCGAATTTAATTTCCTTTCCAGTCACTGTTCGAGCGCGTTTTGTTGACTTCATTATTGTAGGCCTTTTTAAAATTTTCCATGTTTTATAGTTCATTATTGTTAAATCTGAACCCGAATCGAGTTGAAATTTGATATTTTTTTTAAATATTTCAGTCGTCACATACTTCCTCAAATCTCTATCTGATTTGATATTTGAATTTGTTTGTCTAATTCGGCTATTGACTTTTTTCGTTTTACAACACGACCCTTTGTGACCATTCTTGTGGCACACTAAACATTTTTTATTTCTATATGGGCAATTTAACTCCCAGTGTCTTCCGTTTGCACCGTCTACAATTAAATGGCATGGAACCATTTTTTTTTTTCCCTCCTCATTTTTTTTCCATTTAATTTTTCTTGTTTATTTTTAAAATACGCCGAATTTTTAATCCAATTTTTTTTTTCTGATGGGTAATTTGACTGTTTCTTCACTTTTTTTTAATATAAGCAATACCAGCTTCTTCAATTTTTTTGAGACTCTTTCTTTAAACTTACGGCCCGCTGACACTCCTCTGCTAACTTTTGCAGGGTAAGGTTTTGTTCAGATTCGAAGTTTAGACAAAACTCTCACGTCTTATTTCGCACTTTTACTGGATACCAGTCCTTGAGCAAAAATTAAACACTTGAATTCTTCAACCGTAATCTCTGCCAATCTGAAATTGTCACAATGTCTATTCACTATAGATGCATAAGTTAAGTAATCCTGATCGTCGGATTTAGCGACATTCATGCATAACCATCGCTTATGCCAAAGCGACATATTTGCTCCAAACAACTCCTTTAGCAATTTCACTGTTTCGAGAATTCCAATTCATTTGTTCTTCTCGGTAGAATAAAATCTACAAATTTGCTATGTTCTGCTGTACCTAGCTTTCTTAGTAATAGACTGACTTTTCTTGAATTCGACCAGTTTTCACAGTCTGTGTGGAAAATATCTTCATATCGTTTAAAGTACGCTTCAAACGTTTTTCCTTAAATCTGGCACATAGTTGAAAGTTTCCAACTAATTAAATATGATGTTATTAGAATATGAAGAGTTACTTTCATTTACCTGAACGTTGTTTAATTTCTCCAATGTTAACTTTTGAATTTCCAAAACCTTGACATACATTTCTTCCTGTTCCTTTGGACGTTGCTGACTCAACTCCTCTTGCCTTTCTTGATAATTCTGCTGTGCTAATTGTTGTTCTCTTAATAAGGCAACCTGTTCACTTTGTTGTTGCAGACTCAACTGCTGGGATTTGAATAATTCAGCTTGACTCAACTGCTGGGCTTTAAACAATTCAGCTATGACTTTGGATAATTCCTCCATTTTTAACTGATAGTGTTCATGCAACAAAGAATATACTTTTAAATTGTGTATCCACGAATATACTATAAGCAGACAAAACAAAATTGAAACAACATACGCCTTTTTTAATTTTTATGTCTTGCTTTATAAAATATTGTTGAGCAACCAAACAAACAAAAAATAACAAATTTTTTTTTTTTTTTTTTTTTTTTTACAAGTTAAACTTACCTTTCAAAGTCGACACGTGGTATTTGTGCTCCTTTTAATTCCATGCATGTTTTTTTTTTTTTTTAGTCGGCCAGCATTTTTTTTTTTTTTTTTTTTAGTCGGCCAGCATTTTTTTTTTTCGCGTTATTTGTTTACGCCACCTTCCAGATTTTTCTGAGTGTAATGTTCCTTTAAGCTTAGTCGTCCTTTAACTAGTTTTAACTGTCCAAACTTCAGAATACTTTTCCGTTCCATTAGATGTTCGACTTTTAATTAATGATTTTTTTTTTTTTTTTCCAGCCTGGGTTCTTCCACTTGTCCCAATTATTGAAGGCTATCAATTATTAATTTTTTTTTTTTTCGAAACGTAAAGTTCTTTATACCTGTCGCCATTGTTGAAGCTTAAATAAGCATGGAATAATACAACACAAAATGTACGTTAACAAAATGTATTGAAACAAAAGAATAGGTACACAATATTTACAGTTAGTTTGGTATATTCTTGGGAAGACTGTTCCTGCATAATGGGTTGACTAAATCGCAGTCGGGCAGAGTCTCTGGATTCAATTTCTTAATCTCTACTATCTTCCCCGTCTTCCGGTACCAACCCATATTTATATGGTCGGTAGTCCGCTTATGTAAATTAGGTGTATCATACACAACAATTATATTAACATTAAAACAGCATAATTGCATATTAGGATTTTTGTTTGTTTTTTTCCGTATATTTTTCTTCATATTAAAGTATATATAGTATATATTACTATATGGAATATATTGTAGAACGGGTATATTGACTTTGACTTGTATAAAAATATGTATGCTGTTAGCACATTGAATGATTTTAAAACATTTGTCACATAGCAAAAGGGTGCTGATCTCTTGTTTAAGAGATAGAAATGTTTTTTTATTTTTGAAATAAACATTATCTAACTTTATTGAGTATAATCTGCACAATATTTTGAGATCTGATATGAAAGGACAGTCTTTTTCTGTTGATTAAATTATTTTTTTTCTGTTGAATAATTTTTTTTTTCAGTTAATTAAATTAAACTGTTGGAAATTATATTAGTATAAATGGCTCAAAAATTGTGTGTGTGTGTTGGGGTGAGGAGATAATATTGTGTGTGTGCGTGTGTGCACACAAGAGAGAAGAATTATCTTCTGTCTTGTTGAAAGTGGCTTTCACTTTGAAATGGAGCTAATAATGAAATTTTTTTCTTTTTTTCTCTATTAACAGTTGCAGGATCTAATATGTCAGATTCTTCAGGGACATTTAGTCATGTTCCGAAAAGATTCTTTCCTTTCAGTCCTCAGTAAGTTGGCACTTTATTAGATTTTATTTTCTGTTTGACATTGCCCTTGATTTGGAAATACTTAATTTGGTGAATCGTCTTAATTATTTTTAATTAATATTCTAAATTATTCACCGATATATGTACATCTGAAAATGGCTAGAGAATTGACCAGCTGAAATGATTTGGTTAAAATCCCAAAGATAATAATTTGAAGATATCAATGAATGATTATAATAGTTTAATTTCAGGCAAAAATTGTTTGCGGGAACTTTTGAACTTAATTTGGCATTGCTCAGTAAAGTCAAAAAATTGCATGTGGTGGATAAAAACAACATTATTTGGACTGTTGTCCTCATCTTCATTGCCATATTCACAACGTTTCGGACGTTGCATGCTATGGCCTTCTTCAGGTGATTACAATTTCGAACTGAACCCTTTATTTCATTCACCAGTGTAGATTGTTCTAGTTCCATGTGCCATGCCTCTTCCGGATATCTCAGTTATTTCCCTTTAACTAACCTCTCCAAGTTTTTTTGTTCACGACTGTTGTGGCCTGGTATTGAACTCACAACTCTTTAGGTCTAGTCACTGGATCTAACCAATGTATTTATACCAGGCCACAGCAGTGGTGAACCAAAAAACTTGGAAAGTTGAAGGAAAGGGAAATAACTGAGGCATCTGGAAGAGGCATGACATGTAGAACTAGAACATTCTACTCCGGTGCATGAAACAATGGGTTTGATTCAAAATAGCAAGAAGGCTAGAGTGTACAATGGCCAAAATGTTGTGAATATGGCAATGAGGATGGCAGTCCAAATAATGTAAATAGTGTAAGAAAGATATTTTATATTTTAACATTGTCTTAAGTTTGCTAAGAACAATCTTTGTAATAAGTTTTTCTGATTTAAACTTATTTTTAAAGATTTTAATTCTGATAAAAATTAATTTTTCTGCAATAAGAAATCTTCCATATATGGCTGAAGAAGAAAAGCATAAATCAAAAAATCATTTCAATAGACTGGATTCTATAAATTTTGGCAGAGTATTCAAGTTTGCTGACTATTATTACTCATAAGAAAATGTTGAGGACCATTAAGAGATTTGTCAGTCTATTTATGGCTAAAGCATCATTAGAAATGAAATTAGATAAAGTTTATTTTTCTTATTGAAATCTTTCATATTGGAAGTATTTAGAACCAGCTTTGTACTGTCCTGGGTATGATGATAAACTACATCCAACAGCAAGGCCTCTGACTAGGAAGTTTTGAGGAGTGTGGAACCACCTCTTAATTGCTGGTGTTTCCAGGTCCACCCTGACCCATGCTGGTAGCACCTGTTATGGTCCCTGCTATGAGCAGTTAACCCCCAAAGTAGGGTCAAAACACTGAAAGTATAAAAATAGGTTTTAATACCAGGAATACATTTTGTAAAAATATTACCAGCAATGAATTTTTGAGGAAAAAATTACTCCCAGCAATTTTTATGGGAAAAATATTACCAGCTGTATATTTTTGAAAAAAAAAAAAAGAAGAAATATTACCAGCAGTATATTTTTGAAAAAAAAAAAAAGAAATATTACCAGCAGTATATTTTTGAAAAAAAAAAAAATTTACAAGCAATTCATGTTTGAAGAAAAAAATTATTACCAGCAATACATTTTTGGGAAAAAAAATATTACTAGCAATAAAAATCTTGTCTGCATTAAATAACCCATTGAGGTTGATATGCCGTAAAAAATAAAAAGACGAAACAAACCAACCCGCTTTGCAATGAAATAGAAATGATTTTATATTATTTTTTTTTCTGGCTTTTTAAATGTTTTTTTTCTTTGTCATCAGATGCCAGTTTAGAATGGGAAACATTAGAACAGTATTTTCTATGGCAGCTGATCACCTCTCACAGCATTCCTGTTGATTACATTATGCCAATTCTGCCCAAATTAGAGTTTTCTAGTAAGTAATACCATTTTTCTCCTTGCCAATTTCTTACAGAAGTCATGATCTGTCTTGATATTAACCTTGACCTCCATCAATTTAATGATAATATTAGCAGTTTCTTTATAAGGAAACATTTGGCATTCATTGACCAAGCATTTGGTTGAAATTTATAAAATATTTCTATTATATCAATTTTTTAGGAAAATAGGTTTCTCAAGTTGAGTAGCTGTTTTTGCTCTTTCTAGCATTAATAGGATTTCCTTTCTAACCTTTTGTTTGAAATTGTGTAGAATGTCAACAATTTGATTGTGTCATTATTTTCTCTTCAAGTTACATGTCCTATCCATTTTAATTGTTACTGCTGTTGAAAGTCCTCAAGTGATAGGTTTTTGTTATTTGGTACAGTTCTTTGTAAGTCTTTAGTGCCATTTCATGAGGTTTGAAGAAGGATGGTCTTCACCAAGACTCACAGGCTTCATTCTCTGGAAGCGATTTTTTTAACCATTGATCTGAGGAAGTGGTTGTATACAGCTGAGAGTTTAGATATTTCTGAACTGGTTTGACACCATGCATGACATTCGTATAAAAGTCTGGATTTGACTAGGCTACTTTAGAACATGACTTGAATCAAGAAATTTTGGCAATTTCAAATGTAGTCTGTTAAAAAGAATGATGGCATTTTAAATCATTTACAGAATCACCATTAAATTATAACTTAAACTTGGGTTTTTGACTTATAATATTATGAAAAATTAAAGGAAATGTAATTTTGTTGTGGCTATAAATTGAATGTCTTTTTCTTTTTTTTTTGTTTGCTTTACATTGTGTTACTTGGGTATAATTTCTGATGTCTCTTCCAGCCCATTCTGAAGCAATGACATCTGTCATGGTACTGCTGAAACAAGAATGGTAAGAATTATTCTGTAACATTTTTGACCCTTAAGCAAAAGGATTATAACACTGAATTGAAGATTATTAGGACTGGTTAAATTTTCAGTTCATTTCTTGATAAATCTTATTGATCAACTTTTTTTTTTTTTTTCCAATTGAGTACGAGGAATCTTATTTAATAAACTAAAAAGCTAAATTTTGTACATCATGTTGCAAATGTATCAGCATTTATTTTGATAGTGTACAGGTTCTTTATAGTAATAGACATCTGATTGCACCCCCTCCCCATCTCCAGAGACCTATTTAAGCACTTAACATCTTATAAAGAAACAGTGAATTATTTTGTATTTTTTTTTTATCTTCAGTTATTGAAATGAAAACCTACTTTACTTTTTTTTTTATAGTCCAACTGCAGATTTGTTACGGCCTCTTATGTGTCGGGAGTACAAAAAACAAGATATGTTTACAGTATCTGTTTTGAAATTTTGGGCACAAGAGTACGAGGACCGTTTAGCAGAACTTATTTACAACCAACTTGCAAAAGCCAATAATACGCCCAAGAAACGACAAAGGTAAGGTCGCCTTTTGATGCTATAATGATTTTCAGTATTATTCACTATAAAAGTTTTTGTGGCATTGGATGTGGTCCCATCTACAAACTGTCCTGGGTAAGACGCTAAACTACATCCAACAGCAAGGACTCTGATCAGGAGGCTTTGAGTAGTGTGGAACCACCTCTTAATCGCCGGTGTTCCCAGGCCCACCCTGACCCAGGTGATAACACACCTGTTAGAGTCCCAGCTACGGGCAAATAGTTAACCCCCAAACTGGGGTCAAAACATTATTAAAGTGTAAGAATAAATTTTAATACCTGAAATACTTTGTAAAAATTCATTACCAGCAATAATTTTTTGAAAACAAATTATTACCAGCTATACATTAAAAAAAAAAATGCCAGCAATACATTTTTGAAAAAAGAAATATTACCAGCAATAAAAATGTTGTCGGCATTAAATAACCCATTGAAGTTGATATCTTGTAAAACAAACCAAACCTATCTACAAAGCCTTTTAGCAGTTTGATTTGGTCAGTAGAATTATTTTACATGTTATGTCTTGTTCAATGTAAGATGACAAATTAATTGAATAGAAATTTGTTTAAGAAAGAATTTATCATGCAAATTTTCTTTTTTTTTGTTTACCCCCATAGAAATAATTCTGCTAAACGTGACAATAGTCCCACACCTGACCAGGTGCTGTCTCATCTGGATCATATGAGAATGGTTTGCCGAAATGTATCTTGTAAGTATAAAACTCTTTTTTCTTTGTCATTTAGATGCAAATTTCTGTACATGAATCTTAAATTTATGAAGTTTTGTTTACACTATTTTAATATTTTGCTTGCTTCCTACTACAACTTTCTGCAGAAATAGTAGTTTTTGCATCTGTTTATAGTTATAATTTAAATATGACTTTAAATTTTAACATCATTTCTGGGATAAAATACATTTAATGTTGCTTAATAAATGTAGGCTGGTTTATTTATTTTTTTTTTATTTTAAGAAAAATCTCTGCCATCCTCTGAACTTAATAAGACTGTCCTGGGTAAATATTTAATGTATGTACCTGCAAAAAAAATAATGTCAAAAATAGTTTTTCCTCTTGAAATTGCTATTGCTATATGTATCTGGAACATTCACCATAAACATTTTTGCTGTAGAAAACCTTGCCATATAGGATTTTTGCCATAAAACAATTTTGACGCATTTTTTTGATACCCTTATTTTCACTTTTGGATTAATGTTCAATTTAATATGCAAAGTACCTTGTTATCAAATATATATGGATGTTTTTTTACAGGGTCAAACATCATAAAAGAAATTAAAAAGTAAACATTTATTTAAAAAATAAAAGACTAAAAATATATCAAATTAACAAAGAAATAATTTAAAATGTGTGCAAATTCCAAGCAATGTTTCGTAAATAATGTGTTTTTTTGCATTGGACTTTAATGAAGCATTTTCCGCTGAAGTCTTGCATTGATATCAATATATATTTTCTTCATTTGTACTGCATTACCTCAATATTATGTTAACAGAAAGTTTAACATTAAGTCTGTAGTATGAAATTGCAGTGACATGTTCTGGTGTCAAGTTGAATTTTTTGCGCTCCTCACTGACGAGGATGAATGATGTAGGATTTTGATCCTATAACTTCGCTTATTAAAATGTTTAAATCAAAGTAACAATAGTGTGAGCCAGATATACTTGATAACAAGGTACTTTGCATATTAAAAAAAATTGTCAAAATTGTCTTAACGACAAAAATCCTATATGCCAAAGTTTATTATTGCAAAAATTTCTGAGGCGAGTCTTCCTATGGCAAAAATGTTTACGACAGATGTTCCTAGAACCATTATTATATGCTCCTCAACTTCTTTGGGAATGTTTTTTTGTTTTTAAAAGGCTATACTTAGAATTTTAATAACAATAAAAAATATTATACACTAATTAGTTGTTGTAAGTATTATTTAAAAGATTAATTTTATAGTTACAAAATTATAAAAATATAACTATTCAAATTGATTGACTTGAGATGTTTTTCATGGTTATTTCTTTATAAAATGGTAAATAATAAATATTGCATTGTAGTTTGTTCAATATTTATTTTGTATAGAAAACAAATTGCAGTTGACATCTTTCATTTGTGTTGCCCCCACCCCCACTATCATGATCACACAGAATAAAGAAAGAATACTATGCATTTCTATGTTATTAGTCAACAGTCCCTTGTTGCTACACACAGAACTGGCTTCCAAAGTTAAGCAAATTCTTCTGGTAGCATATAAACCATGCAGCCTTCAACAGTGTTGCAGTCTTGCTCTATGTTCGCACTGTGAAGAAGGTATGCTTGATAGCTTCCTCTGATTCACTGTGATAGTAATACTAATAAAACAACCATACTTGTTAGAAAAGACCTTTTATCAACTTGAGCATGCTTTGAATTGCCAGATTTTTTGCCATTTCAATTAGTTACCTAAGGCTATAAGTAGTAGTACTATCCTTTTGTCAGCTCAAACTACTTAAATAAATTGTCTTGCATAGCATCCCTGCTTTACTAGTGCTCGATATGTCTTTCTCAACAAAGTCCAGGTCCCAGATAGTCTAGGCTTGCTTTAATAGAAGACTCTTGTAGCAAGTCTGAATATGTGATGAAAGGATTATTCATTTCAAGACAAAGAGCAGGCCTCTTGTGTCCATACTTCTCAAAGAATCTGCTGTCATTGTCATCTTGTGCACACATCTGACCTAGGAAATGGATTTTAACACTTGACATCCTTAGACTACTCCCCAAAAGGACGGCGACAAAAAACCTCACAATGCACCGTGAGAAACCTGTGACCCCCAAAGGTGTTTAAACAGGCCTCTCTCTCCTTCAGCTACTTTGGAGAGTGAAAGTACCAATAGGTAGATCTGGGTGAAGTGGACACAACAGTCATCCCCTTTAAGAAAAGATTACTTACTTAACATATTGTGGGTGGTAGTTTTTTTTTTTTAGGACTCCAAGTTATTACATGCTTGTCATTTTCTGATAAATTTTCATTTGTGAGTGCCAACAATGATATTTGCAGTGGTACTTTTTGGGTGCAAACAATGTTAAGGCTTCAGCTGAAGCTATAAATCTTTTTGTTGCCTAATTTAGCTGTTATAAGGTTGGTGTTTGAAGTCAGATTTCATAAATTACCTCTGTCAGTCAACATGTTAACTTTGACCATAACCTTCCCTATGAAGATTGAACAATTCTTCTCCAGCTGGAAGTAAGGAGTGAGTATCTGTTCATTTGAAGTAGCCAGGGAGAGCACAACCTCTATCTGAATCCAACTGCCAGCTAAGAGACTTATTGTCTCATACAATCTGATTTATTTTTTAACCTTTGCAATTTTTACATTGTTCATTACAAGAGATGTCATAAGCATAGACAGAGTAGTTATATTGATTTTCGACAAAGAGATGAGGGTGTTCCAAGTCTTTTCCAAAATTGTCTTTGTATTTTGCCATGTTCTTTTTATTTTTGCTTGTCTCCATTTTGTTTTTTTTTGTTTAATTTTCATTTAGGCTTTCTTGTTTGGGTTTTTCATATTTCTTTTTAGTTTACATCTTACTTTCTTTAATTATTTTCTATTTTGGTCATCAGTTAGCCATTTTGTTTCTTTTCTTTAATAATAGGAAAAAGTCATGCCTTTATGATATTGCATATAGTAAAAATAAAAATGTTTGACTGAGTCAGTCCATATTAGTATAATCTGTAAAAGTAAAAAAAAATTCCTTCATTCACAAATGCAAAAAATCTATTAAAAAAAATCAGAAGGCTTTCCAAATGTAATTCTGGCTCTTCTATTTATTCAGAAGTTTTTGTCTTCCTAAAAAAAATATGAATTCAGACATTTTTAATTTATATTTTATAAAAAGGAACTAGTTGATATTTATTTAAAAATTGCTAATATTATGGGTAAAATGCTAAATAATTGGAGTAGAGTATTTGTAGATGTAGACATTGTAGACATAGGAATCAACATTGCATGGTGACTAGCAGTTTCACACCTCCAAATCACTTGAAGTGTGGAACTGCCAGTCATCATGAAATGTTGTTTTCTTTGCTTACACATACTCTTTCTCCCTTGGGTGTATTTGGGTAGCAATTTTTCATTGATACAAGTTTCTTTAAAGACAAGGATGTTTTTGTTTATTTTTGCTACATTTGGACCATTTTTCTGGTTTCCAGTCAAGATTTTAATGTATATAATGTATTATTATTGATATTTTTCTGCTTGCAGTTTTGAACCATGAAAGTATACAACATGCATTACAGCAGGTGCAGATGTCTGCCTCTGAAGTGCAGAAAACAAAGTAAGTGTCCTGTTTTCTTTCTACTTTTTATGTGTGTGTGTGTGTGTGTGTGCGCACAATTGTTCTCACAAAAAGCCAGCACGTGTTGTTACCTTCCCAAAAGCCAGCATGTTTTCTTGTCCTCACAGAGAAGACTGGATTCTAGCTAAAATGATCTAGTCTCATAACAAAAATATACCTAAAATTATGATTTACTGAAAATAGTTGACATTATTGCAGAAAATAGTATAATTGAAAAATTACCTTGATAATACCATTTAAATATTACTATACACAAATCAAAAAAGAACATTTCTAAGAAAAAGATCAAAATCTTATAAATCTGGGAAAAATCCCAGAATAATAAAAACACTAATAGTACCAATATCAACCATAATAATAATACTGCTATCACCACCACCAACAACAACATGGACAGAGTCACCTATAATTCTTCTAATTCTGAATTTGTATTAAGACACATGTAAACCTAGTTTAGAAAAAGAAAAATATATTTTCTTTCCTCATAACAATTCTTGATATTGATAAACTGTTTTCAGAATTTTCAGAATTTTATTTTTATTTTATTTTATTTTTTATTTTTTATTTTATTTTTTATTTTTTATTTTATTTTTTATTTTTTATTTTATTTTTTATTTTTTATTTTATTTTTTATTTTTATTTTTTATTCAAATGTTGCTTTAGAATTGAAACTGATTTTTTCTTTTGTTTTTTGTTTTTGTCACAACAGATACAGTGATCTCTTGGCTCTGGCTGAAGATTTTGATGACATGAAGAACACAAGAGTTCTTCGGGGTCGAAGAACACGTGACACATCGTCATCAGTGAAAGCAAGTAAACCTAAGAAAGAAGAGACAGAAAGTGATGCTAGCAGCAGTGAGGTTAGTCATTGATGAAACATTTTTTAGTTTATTCTGCAAAGGTCTCTTTTTTTTTATTTACACACAGCAGTAATTGTACTAAAAAATGTCAAGTCTTGTATCTTTTATTTATTCATTTTTTTTTAATGATGGCCACCTGTTTTGCAAAATTCATCTTGGTAGGATATCCATGGGTATATCAATAAGTTTATAGCCTGATACTTATTTACTGTATCATATTTGGTCTGTGATTAATGGAGAAGCCCTGGATTAAGTGCATTGACAAGAAAGATAATATTGTAAAATATTTCTGCAAAATAAATACCTATTGTTTTTTTGTCGTCACTAAGCAATGGAATTATTAATCTGTATATGGATTTGTTGTTGAACATTGAAATCAACACTCAGAGGTGACAGGCTGTTTCATGCTAGCATGAAACTGTTTGTCACCTTAGTGTTGACATCAATGTTCACTTTTATATTTATATTTACATATGTTCTATCTCTGATATTGAGCACCCCATAAATATAGCACACCTTAAAACTATATTTCTTCATATATATATATATATATATATATATATATAAACTGAGCAGACCTTAGTTACAGTTTCTGGGAGAGATTGTGTTATCTAGCATGATCAACAATCTGAACTATGCCATCACACTCAAACTCTCGGTCATGATGACTTGTGATTTTGTGCTAACACAGCTATCGACAGCCCCCAAGCATTCTGTCTACCCAATTTCATTCACAAGGCTTGGGTCAACCTCTGGTATGGTATAAACCACATGTTGGATCTGTGGGTGTTGAACAAACAAATGTGACTGAATGAGAGTCCCATAACTTTCACACTGTTATCTATCAAATTTTTCCTTTGTGGTTACTCAGTCATTTTACTACTGGAAAATATTAAATGTAAGAATAAAACTTATATAAGTCACAATAATTTTTATATCTGTTTAGCAATTTATTCTTAAAAATATAAAATACAATTATATTTTATTCAATTATACATTCACCACTATTTACAATGACTTGTTGCCACTTATTCGGCAGTTTTACAGCACCTTTTCAGTAAAATTCCATGGGTTTTGATATGAAAAAGTTTTCAATAAACTCTTGAATATGGTTTTAAAGCTTTCTCCATCAAAGCATTTTGCAATGATTGAAAAAGGTAATAATCTGGTCAGGTAATAGACCAACCAAATTTTTTTCTTGTGTTATTCTTCGTGTTGTCAAGGTGATGAACATTTTCCTTTTCGTCTACTCTGTACACTGCCATCTCCGTACAAAGACAACTAAAATATGTTGGTGTACTCCATGTTTATTCTTAACTACAGTGTATGATTAGTAGTTAGGATAATACATTTGTCATTACAACTGGATCCCCAAAATGGAAATTAATTATGACTCAACCTATATATATATATATATATATATATATATATATATATGGTGGTACTCGTTTGGAAAAACCTTGGATAGCTCGACTTGCAGTTGAACCAATCGGTACCTGAGGAAAAATGGGGAATAAAAAAAAGAAACAAACAAAAACATTAAAACAAGGCAAAAACAATCATCCAGTGTTTAAACTCCAAGTCCAAAGGAAAAAAAAAAAACAAAACAAGTAAAAAGACAACTACATAAAGTTCTCAATACACTAAGTAGAGCAAACCTAATAAATATATATATATATATATATATATATATATATATATATATATATAAGCAGTTACATTATCAATTCAGTATAATCTGTATTTTTCCTTATAAACTATTATTCTTGCAGAAAAATAATTTGACTTTGACTGGAAGTAGTTTTGCTTAAAAGCATGTTTGTTCTATACCAGTGTTTTTCAACCTGTGTTACCCAGAACCCTAGGGTTTTGCAAGAAACAGTAATAAATAGGCTAATGCATTTTTGAGTAATTTTTGTTGAATTTTATATTCATAATTTTATTATACTGTTACGTTGCTCAGAGAAGAAAGCTAGTAACCTTTCACTAAGGCTTTACTGAACTTAATTCACAGCAGCAATCAACAAAGGAAGAAGAACACAGCTTTTAAAGAGGAATGGGGACGTGTGAAAGTCATGTGGACAGTAAAGATAGTTTCCTATTTGACGTGGACAGTAAAGATAGTTTCCTATTTTCTTTTCTTTTATTTTCTTTACGAAAATATAACATTCTCCCCACTTGCAAAGAGATCGTAATTGAATAGGTTTTATAATTCCAGTCGTTGGATTGGTCTACGAATCCTGCTAGACCGGGCGTAGAGGTAGTTCACCACTGGAAGAGCCAGACCTCTGAGAAGGCTGACTTTCAGGATTCTGGCTATTATTCACAGATTCATTTTCCGTGGAAGGTGAAGAAATATTAACGGACCTGCATCAGGCAAAAGGTTGAATCTGCATGGTCCATGTCGGGTTGAGTATTTTCAGGTCCATTTTGAGGTCCATCCGGCGTGGAAAACGTGCCAACCGTCTCAGCGCCACCGAATCTTCCCGCCATCATTGTGACGTATTTTGGCATGCGTAGGATTGGCCTCAAGGAGTTCCACCACCTCAACGATAGGGTCATATTTACTTCTGCCATCGAATCGTTTTAATAATACCTCCCCAGGCTCACAGAGCCAAACAGGCAACGCAGTACCGGTGGAGGACCGCCTTTCAAAATTGAACATTCGTTCGTGGGGGTTGCATTCGTAGTGGTACATAGTAGAGAGCAGATAGCATTTAACACATCATGTAGAACATCCTGCCAAGCACTAATTGGTAACTGTTTTGATTCAGGGCCAATAATATGGTATTCCAAATTATGCCGTTGTAACGTTCGATTGGCTATTGCCTCTAGGGTTATAAGCAGTAGTATTACTGAATCCAATTCAAGTCGTGTTAGAAATTGTTGAAATTCTCCTGACATAAACGAAGTTCCTCGATCGGAGTGAATGAACGAGGGAAGCCCGAAAATGGAGAAAATACTTGTCAGGCACTGAATAGCAGTCTGCGAAGAGCAATCGCGGCAAGGAAAGCAAAAGGAAAATCGACTATATTCGCCGATGACAGTAAGTATATATCGGTAACCTGTCGGGGGGATACCGGGACAAGCCCTTTTTGTAGTCTATGGAGAGACGCTGAAATGGCGAGTAGAACGGATCAGAACATTACTAGTAGAATCAAAGAATTGGGGTTTTATTTTGGCACAGGTTGTACATTCAGAAGTCACACGTCGGACTTCATCAAGCGAATACGGCATATTCTGAGACCTTACAAAATGCCAAAAGCGCTGTACCCCAGGATGTATTAAGGAATCGTGTATCGATTTAAGTTCCTTCAAGGAAGAAGCAGCAGCACCACATACTCTGGATAAGGTATCCGCAATCGTTTCTTTTTATTAGGTGACGAAGTTACGACAATTTGAGCACGCCACGGAGAGTAACTTGTTTCAATTATATCATCCTTAAGCAGTTGTAGAATTTCTTTTTCAATGAACCGACCATCCTCCGCACGGTAATTTCGGGATTTAGTAGCAATAGGTTTGCAATCAGGGGTCAAGTTTTGGAACAACTTAACAGGAGCACAACTGATCTTGGTTAGAGCGCAGATTTTTAGAATATCCTGAGATCCACCAAAAGAAATAGTGATACTCTGGTGTAGTTTTAAGAAGGGCACTCCGAGTATAATATCCACACAGGAATCAGGAAGTCACACGTCGGACTTCATCAAGCGAATACGGCATATTCTGAGACCTTACAAAATGCCAAAAGCGCTGTACCCCAGGATGTATTAAGGAATCGTGTATCGATTTAAGTTCCTTCAAGGAAGAAGCAGCAGCACCACATACTCTGGATAAGGTATCCGCAACTGTGTTTTCATTTTCAGGACGGTGTTTTATGTCATTATGAAAAGGGAAGAAGTTCCATTTTCCACCTTATAATTTTATCGTTTTTAATTTTTTCATGATTAGCAGGTTTAAACATAAAAGATAACGGCTTGTTGATCAGTAATAATAGTAAAATGTTTACCGGCAAGGAGGTCTCTCCATTTACAAACGCGATTCGACTATAGCATAGGCTTCTTTTTTCGACTATGTGAAGTCGTATTTCAGAGGGGTTTAGCGACCGAGAAAAAAGAATGCTACAGGTCGCTCAGCTTGTAAAAAGAGTGCCTCCAATAGCCTTTTCTGAGGCATCGGTTTCAATAGTAAATGGCAATTCATCATCAATAACTTTTACAGATGACTCGCAATGTCTTTCTTAAGTTTTCAAAAAGAATTTATGACTATAGGAGGCATAGGGTATTGTTTATTTTTTAACCAGTGGACGAATTTTGTGTGAATATTTAGGTATCCATTTCGCATAGTAAGCAAACATACCAAGACACCTTTTTTAACGAATTTGAGTCGGGAGGAGGAGGCATTTGTAAAAAGTGGCTTCAAACGCTCAGGATCGGGTTGGATAGTTCCGTTACAAATTTGATATCCAAGCACGTTAATAGAAAGAAGTGAAAACTCTGATTTTTCCCGGTTTATTTCGAGGTTGTATGTTGAGGCAGCCTTTAAGAAACATTCCAAATTGACATCGTGCTCCTCCTGAGTTTTACCACAAACAGTTATATCATCTATATCTGAAAAGGTTCCAGATAATTTGTTATCAGAAATGAAAGAATTCATAAATCGCTGAAAGGCAGAAACCCCGTTAGTAACACCCATGGGTATTCGTTTAAATTGGTACAGATGGTTTCCAGCTTGAAAGGCCGTATGGGGACGATCTTCAGGGCAAATTTCAATCTGATAATACGCTTTGGACAAGTCAATTATACTATAGATACGATACTGGGCTATTTGGTTTATTTAGATCTTCAATTCGAGGCAAGGGGTAGGCATCAAGTAAGGTGAACCGATTAATAGTCTGGGAGAAATCGACTACCAATCGTTTCTTTTTATTAGGTGACGGTTACGACAATTTGAGCACGAACGGAGAGTAACTTGTTTCAATTATATCATCCTTAAGCAGTTGTAGAATTTCTTTTTTTTTTCAATGAACCGACCATCCTCCACGGTAATTTCGGGATTTAGTAGCAATAGGTTTGCAATCAGGGGTCAAGTTTAGGAACAACTTAACAGGAGCACAACTGATCTTGGTTAGAGCGCAGATTTTTAGAATATCCTGAGATCCACCAAAAGAAATAGTGATACTCTGGTGTAGTTTTAAGAAGGGCACTCGAGTATAATATCCACACAGGAATCAGGAAGTACTGTAAAGTCAATTTGTTTATATTCGTAAACATTGAAGATAATGTCCTCAGTACAATATTCAGATAGTTTGAGGGAAATGGCAGATGATGCCATGGAAATTACGGAATCCGTTTAGAAGTAGACAGTTTCATTGTTTTAACAATACGGGCACTGATAAAGTTATCAGAACTACTGGTGTCTATGAGGGCAGTTAATCTCTTTCCTTTTAATTCTAAAGTTTTAGTAACTGGAGGAGACCTATCATAAATCTTTAGCACGGGCTACTATAATAGCTGAAGTAGAACGTGAAGGTGCCGGCATGGTAGAGCGGCAAACTTTAGAAAAATGACCAAGTTTGCCACAGTTTCGACATATCTTATCACGGGCAGGACAATAGCGGCGATTATCCTTAAAATGACGTTTTTCCTCCACAGTTGTAGCACTTGCCACGAGCAAAGGCAGCAGACAATTGTACAGAGTCACCTCCCGTCGAGAATCAGTTAAGTCTGAAAGCATTTTTTTTAGTAGTGGAAGTGGCCTCCTCGGCAGAATCAGTAACCACATTTTTAGTCCTAGTGGTAGTAGCAGCAGTTGATCCAATCTGAGAAGTGTATGACTCAGCACGAAAAGTGAGCCTGTTCTAAGGCTCTAGCACATTGAGTAGCCTCCTTGAAAGTTAGCGTATCATTTTCAAGCAGTCTGGCACATATTACGAGGGACGGAGACCACGTATAAATGCATCACGGACAGATTCATCCCTGTAAGTAGTAGCAGTAACATCTTGGAAGCAACAGTCAGCAGCAAGTCGATTCAAAGGCCTGAAGGTATTGGTCTACAGACTCATTTTCCTGCTGCAGACGTGTAGACAACAAATGTCTAGCGTGAATAATACTTGGAGACTTGTCATAAACACTTCTCAGCAATTCAACAGCATGTTCAAATCCAGAACAACCCTCGATAACATCAGCAACGGTAGCACCGATATTTAAATAAAGGACTTCGAGTTTGTCAGGGTTTAACGAAGCAATAGTTGATAAGTAATAATTAAAATTACGGTACCATAGTCTCCAGAGCTTGCTAGCCTGAGGGTCTGCAGAAGATATATCAAACTTGTCCAGATGAATAATCTTGTCCATGAGGAAGTAAGTTCAGTAAATTGTTACGTTGCTCAGAGAAGAAAGCTAGTAACCTTTCACTAAGGCTTTACTGAACTTAATTCACAGCAGCAATCAACAAAGGAAGAAGAACACAGCTTTTAAAGAGGAATGGGGACGTGTGAAAGTCACGTGGACAGTAAAGATAGTTTCCTATTTGACGTGGACAGTAAAGATAGTTTCCTATTTTCTTTTCTTTTATTTTCTTTACGAAAATATAACATATACACATGCAGCAAATCCTTGGTTATTATAATATTGGTTATTTCTGTTTATTTTTTTAATTTTTTCTGTGAAAACCTCTGTATAATGTTTCATAAATGAGCAATATGATTCTTTTTGCATTGCTGGGGTCATTTTTTTTCCCCTTAAACCAGTCATCTTAAAAAATGTTTGCAACATAAACTACGATAAAAACATAAAAGAGATATTAACAATGGTATATAATAATTTTTATGCAGGGTTTCACTGAAATATAAAATATATTGCAAGGATTCCACAAGGGTAAAAAAGTTTGAGAAACCCTGTTCTAAGCTATCAGGCATTTGTTTGTTTTTGTTGTTTTATATCTGTCTCCATGTTTTATTACAGGAGGAAGATATCAAGCCGAAGCCAAAGAAGAGGAAAAAAGGTGTCATTGCTGTGGAAGATGATAGTGACTGACTGAGTCGACAAGATTTGTGACTTGATCTTGAATGGCCTGTTTCTCTTTCTCTCTCTCTCTGTAAACTGGCATTTGTGTATCTCTCTCTGCCATGGAACGATAGTTAATGGATTAATCTCGTGAGATCAGCTGTTTCAATGCGTGCTTGTGTGTGTTGCCTGCTAGGTTGCTCATTTAGTTGTCATTGAACAATAATCTTCAAAAAGTGAAAAAAAAGGAGAAGGAGCAAAATATATTTTATACAAGAAAAATGTGAATTCACAGATGCAGGTTATAAAAATGAAACTAAATACAAATAGGTTTATAATTTAAAGGTTTTATATTTGCTCAATGACAATTTTTACAATTATTTATGCTGGTATCTCACACACACACACATGCACAGTTTTTTTTGTTTATATGTTATTTTTCATAGATACAAATGTTTAAGTAAATGCTCTGTTTTATAGTAAACCGTATTAACAACATTTATCAGCCTGAATGTCCGAGAAATATCAAATAGAATATGTGTCCTCCGACAGGAATGAAACCTATATCTTCCATGGAACCATCATATAGCCCAGTGCTCCACATCATTTAGCTACAGAGGAAGTGTTTGGTTAGCAAGGTTAGATTACTGCTTTTTGCTAACCAAACGCTTCCTCTGTAGCTAAACGGTGTGGTGCATTGGGCTATATGATGGTTCTGTGTAGGATAAAGAATCAGTTCCAAGAACACACATTTTCTTTGAGATTTCTCGGACATTCAGGCTGGTAAATGTTGTTAATACTGTTTATTATAAAACGGGGCATTTACTTAAATATTTGTATGTATAAGAATAGTGTATAAATAAAAAATACATTAAAATAATTGTGCATTTCATTATCTATACACACACACACACACACACACACACACATATATATATATATATATATATATATAAATAGATCTACTTAAGTTAGAAATTAATTTTACAAAGCCTGAAATTTTTTGCCACATTTTGGTGTAATTCTGCCAGTCATTTGGTACCAAAGACTTATTTGCAACAAGGCTATAAGTAAAATCAGTTGTTGCTACTACACGTCAGTTTGAGTCAGTATGATTGCTCGTTATAAAAAAGACTTTATTTTATTTTTTTTTATTAATTTTAGATTTTGGCAAAATAGTAACTTTTGAAGACTGAGTCGAGCATTAATTAAAACTTACAAATTAAAGATCCTATTTTCATATACATGAAAAATTCTACTTAAAGAAAAAGCCAACTTGAAAGAGGTGACTGAACATTTCAAGGGAGTGTCTTGCAAATATACTGACTATAAATCCTTTTAATTTTGGATTTGAAACAAAGAAATGATTCAGTAAATCTGTATATTAATCAATTATTTTGCCTCTTTGAAGCACTCTGGATATTACGGATTAAGTTAAGCTGTAAAACTGCTTTTGATTACTTTTATTTTTATACCCAGTTTTAGATTTAAAACTATTCACATTTCAACTCCCTCCTCTGATATTAAAACTTTTTGTTTCTTTCATTAGTTTACAAATGTCACAAGGTATTTTCTTCTCATTATTAATATTAAAACAAATATGTTTAGAAATAATGAGAAAATATTTGTGTGTGCGTAATGTATGATTTTTCATTTCTTTTTGTTCAAAATTTCTAGGAATCTTTCAGGATTAAGGCCTCTTAAAGAATCTTTTCCTTTCTCAATTTTCTTCTTTTTCTGTATTCTTTGACATTTTTTTCCATCATAATTCATAGTCATCACCAAATTTCCACTTTCTGTACAATTTCTTACCAAACTTAAGAACAACTGCAATTGGCAAGGCAGGGCTTCACCATTCTCCCTCCTTTTGATTGCTTCCGACACAAGACACTTGACTTTACAGTAAAACTAAATGAGCAGCACGTGCACTGAAAGACCTGAAAAGGTGTTGCAGCTTCTAGAATGCCACCAACACCATCGATGGTATCAACGTTAAAACATGATTATGGATTTCATATTTCAGAAGGAAAAGGAAAAGCATACCATTGGCAAGAGATTAAAAAGAAAAATATTGTCTGATGACAAAGAAAGAAAAAAAAAAAAAAGAGAAAAAACTTGAATTGCCTCATTAAATTTTTACATTTTTAAATTTAAAAAAAAAAAAAAATTTTTTTTTTTTCCAGGACATGTCTGTATCTAATTGTGAATTTTAAGTGAAAGAACAGAACAAGCAGAGGGGAAAAAAAAAAAAAAAAAAAAAAAAAAAAAAAACCCATCTCAGAAACGTACTTTTAAATTTGTTTGACTCGTGTCATTATCATCATCATCATCATCATAATCATCCTCATCATCATAATGACCAACGTTAGGATCATTCTTGCTATTTCTACCTCTCTGCATAATTTTAGAAATGGTGGAGAGAGAAGTGGTGTTGGTGGGGGCTACCCCCTGCAAGGCCTTCTTTTCAGGCTGTCCCCCTCATCCTCTTTTAAAAAAAGAAAAAATAATAATAGTATGGGGGTGGATAAGAAGAACACTAAATTTTCCCTCTTGAATTGCATCTCCTCTTTGGTTGCTGTAATTTTTTTTTCACCATCTCTTATATTTTTTTTTTTTTTATTAAAAAGATAAAGGTTTGGACAAAAATAACATTTAAATGATGAGTGATGGTGTAAGCAGCACCCCCCCACACTAAAAAAAAACAACAAAAAAAAACAATTGAATTTTGAAGAAATACAAATAAAGAAATACTGTTTCACTTTGTGTTTTTTATCTCTCTCACATTTTTCTCTCTCTCTCTCACATTTTTTCTCTCTCTCTCTCTCACATTTTTTCTCTCTCTCTCTCACATTTTTTCTCTCTCTCTCTCACATTTTTTCTCTCTCTCTCTCTTTTTTTTTCTCTCTCTCTCTCTCACATTTTTTCTCTCTCTCTCTCACATTTTTTCTCTCTCTCTCATTTTTTCTCTCTCTCACATTTTTTCTCTCTCTCTCACATTTTTTCTCTCTCTCTCACATTTTTTTCTCTCTCTCTCACATTTTTTCTCTCTCTCTCACATTTCTTTCTCTCTCTCTCACATTTTTCTCTCTCTCTCTCACATTTTTTTCTCTCTCTCTCACATTTTTTTCTCTCTCTCTCACTTTTTCTCTCTCTCTCACATTTTTTTCTCTCTCTCTCACATTTTTTTTCTCTCTCTCTCATTTTTTCTCTCTCTCCACATTTTCTCTCTCTCTCATTTTTCTCTCTCTCTCACATTTTTTTCTCTCTCTCTCGCACATTTCTCTCTCTCTCGCACATTTCTCTCTCTCTCTCTCACATTTCTCTCTCTCTCTCTCACATTTTTTTCTCTCTCTCACATTTTTTTTTCTCTCTCTCTTTTTTTCTCTCTCTCATTTTTTTTTCTCTCTCTCACATTTTTTTTTCTCTCTCTCATTTTTTTTTCTCTCTCTCTCACATTTTTTTTCTCTCTCTCTCTCACATTTTTTTTTCTCTCTCTCTCACATTTTTTTTCTCTCTCTCTCTCACATTTTTTTTCTCTCTCTCTCTCTCATTTTTTTCTCTCTCTCTCTCTCACATTTTTTTCTCTCTCACATTTTTTTCTCTCTCACATTTTTTTTCTCTCTCACATTTTTTTCTCTCTCTCACATTTTTTTCTCTCTCTCACATTTTTTTCTCTCTCACATTTTTTTCTCTCACACATTTTTTCTCTCTCACACATTTTTTCTCTCTCACACATTTTTTCTCTCATTTCTCTCTCTCTCACATTTTTCTCTCATTTCTCTCTCTCTCACATTTTTCTCTCATTTCTCTCTCTCTCACATTTTTCTCTCATTTCTCTCTCTCTCACATTTTTCTCTCATTTCTCTCTCTCTCACATTTTTCTCTCATTTCTCTCTCTCTCACATTTTTCTCTCATTTCTCTCTCTCTCATTTCTCTTTTTTTTCATACTGATATCATGTGGATATATTAAGAATATTGAAGAATGAGAAGCAATAAAAGGACAGTTTTGTTTGCTTTATTGTTAATCATCCCCATTTTCTCAACAAAAAAGATAATTATAAAATCATGTCTGACTCATGGATGTTAATCGACTAAAAGAGAGAAAAAGACACTTTGTCTTTGATTTTGTCATTCTTTTATCTGCTTTTTTCAAAATGGCTTGTCATTATTTAACTGGTGTCATATTGCAAAAAGTAACTTTTTTTGTTTAATAATCTTTGCTCTTTTACCAATATCTGACAAAATGTTTTTTTCTTGGTACAATATTCCTTCAAAACATTGAATCATGGACGTCCAGAGTTTCCTTTTTCTTTAATATCTGAATTACCATGACAGCTGCCCTATACTTTCCTTAATGACTCCTGCCAGCTATTTCCATTAGTAGCAGCAGCATGTGATTTTTTTAATTTTATTTTCCTGTTTGTGTGCGGGGACAGCTAGCCTCAAATAATTCTTTGTCTTTCTTGACCCACTCCCCACCTCCCACCACTTATGTATGTCCTCCTCTGCCCAGTCCTCTTAGCTCTGTCCTCATCCTCAGCCTTGTTGTCACCGCATTTGTCGTCTGCTGCTGTTGTGAAAATTAGTGGCATAGTTTCACATTACATTTACCATAGTTTAGAATCTGGAGTTATTCTAGTCTGGTTGGCCTGTCAAGGCTAAAAAATACCAAATCTGTGCTAAAATTTTATCTAGTTAGACAAAGATGAAATGGATTCTAGTGAGCAGAGAATGCAACAGCTTCAACTGTGATTTGAATTCAGACGACCCATTCCATTTTCTACACAAAGCAACCCTTATGGCACCTGTAAATTTGTTAAATAAATTGCATGTTTCAAATTAATTTTCTTTTTTTGAAAAGAATAAAGAGAACACAGTGAAAATTTAAATAACAATTCTGGTGAAGGTAAACATCATTTTTAATAATTGCTTCTATTTTGGTAAATTTAATATAATTTTGGGTTCAATGCATCTGACAAGTGAAAATCTCAAGATATCCTTGCTGTTACTCAGTCTCATGCCAGGAAGATGTTGAGCTAACCAGAGCCATCTTGTTCCTCGAGCTCTCATGGTTTTGGTAGAATGTTGAAACATCCTCCAGCATTAGATTTATCTGCTAGAGGTCCTGGCGGACAATGTCCTTCAAGCAGCTGTGTGGTCTGTCACAAGCTTGTCTCTAGTCTGCAAATGGCTGGTTGAACTAGTTGATGACTCTGGAGTGGTCATCAGGTTATTGCAGGATGTGCCTGAGCCAATAAACACAGCAATGATGCAGTTGTTTGGTTGGCTAGTCCTATTGCAGAATTCCTCATATGACACAAGATTGGACCAGTACACCCCCTCGATTGTCTTGGGGGTGCAGGACTTGAAGCCGTGGATGCCAGGTGGCCACTTCTTGGCATTGAATAGTAGAATAGAGAGAATGGCAGCTTTATCAATTTGTTGTGAGGCCATCCTAGTCGTCAGCAGATGCTTCTCATGATACCTTGAGTAGAAGTCTCTCCTTATATTTGGAATGGATTATTGCAAATAAAACTTGTTACTTAGTTGATGTTATATTCAGCATCTTGACTGGAGTTTTGTATATGAACCACTTATTAATCATTCTGTCCACTTGTCAGGTAAGAAATGATGATGGTTTGACTCTGAGGAAGTAGATTGGCCTATCTTAGCTGTAAAGGTCTAAACTGATGAAATTAATGAATGGAGATCATCTAAATGTTTGCTATGGAAATAGCAATTGATTTGCAATTTTGTGTCTAGAGAAAGGCTACTAGAGTGGTGAAGAGGTCTCATCCCACCTTAAGACAGCATAAATGATTATAATTTAGGTTGGAAAGTGGGGATTGATTATTTCTAGCCCAGACTTGGCAGTTCTGCTTTATTTTTGGTCTAAACTGACTCTTGTAGATAGAGCTTGACAGGAATTACAGAGGGTGCTGACCATTTTTCCAGCATCTTTAGTAATGAATTCTGTATATGAGTTCCCCTTACAGCCATAAAAATGTTAAAGCACCAGTTCCTGTATGACCACTGAAGTTAAGTAATGTCAAGCCTGGTCAGTACCTAGATGGGTGACAATTTGGGAATACCAGGAGCAGTAAGCAAGGAGGTAGGGGTAGTGTAAGATATAATGGCTTGGAATCATTAATCAGAGAGCCAAGTTCCAATTCCAGTTGGGTTCATTATATTCACTTACCCAAATACTCTTGGGAAAGGTATGAAATCACCTCTTCTCCCCAAAGCTATGTGTTAATTAGTAAAACTTGCATCACTAAATCATTATTATCTCAAAAAAAAAAAAAATTGTTACAATCTAAAAATATTTTTTGGCTTTAAATAACAAACAAAGGGTTGATAAGCTTTAAAAAATGAATTCATCAATCACTTAATGTCTGGAGCGAATTTTGAAGCAATAGATGTTGAAAACATGGCGGTTAATAAAGTTTATACTCAAAGAGAGGATTTCTGATTCTTTATCACACCAAAAATTGTTTTATGACAGGAAAAAGTGTTCATTCAATTGTGTACAAAATATGTAGCATTTATAATTAATAATATAGCAGGAGTTACTTACCTTTAACTACTAGTTGGTTTTCTTTAAGGCTTTCAAAGAAACGTTGAGTGAGAGAAAATTGTGTTCTTCCCTTGAAAATTAAAAAGTTGTATTTGGTACTAAAAATGTAGTTTTTCAGTTTAATACTTTTGAGTTGCATAAATATATTGAAGTATCTTGCTTCTCAAACTTGTTCACTGAAGAGGGAGGAAATCAGTTGAATTGTCAAAAGTCATATATGCTCAGGTGGCATGCTGCTTGCTGAAGAAAATCTCACTGTTAGAAGTTGATAAGTTTCTGTGTCCTTGTTGAAAGAGTGAATCAGAGGGCAATGTTCGTAGATGAGCATTGTGTGTGTGCGCATCTGTGTTGCATGTCATGACATTTCATAGCGTTTTCCCCTAAAGGGACAAACATGATTTCTCCATACCTACATCTTGTATGTGAGAGAAGGCAAGAGAGGACTAGTTGAAAATGTTCCAAAGTATTTATAAATAATGTGAATCACATGATAGACTCAAAACACAGACAGATTTTGGCGGTAAATTAACTTTAACTGTGAGGATGGAAATGGAAGTATAATATTGGCAATAATTGACCAATCAGGAGTTAGAGAAATATCAAGGCTCTTTCTGCACAAAATTTGCAGTTGAAAGAAACTTAAATGGAAGTAGAATACTAAAAATGCATTGAATATTGCTGTCGTCTTGAATGGTGCCTCTGCTATGTTTTTAGAGATTCTAGATAAAATGCAAAGAAGAATCTGTAATGTTATTGGTCTTGATCTGGCTACTGTAACAGTTTTTCCGTGCCTTTTCTATAAATACCTGGTAATTGTTCTGATGAATGTTCCTCTATGTTAATGAATTTAAGTGCAGTACTAGATTGGTGGCAAGGTCTCATCATTTTTCAGTTGAAACAGCTAGATGTAACCGTAAGTTCTATACTCAGAGTTTCTTTTCTCACATAAGATTCACTTATTGGCATCTCGGCTTCAGTCACATTCCTACCACCATAATGTAGCTTTCCTGTGTCTTTCCTTTAAATAATTTCATGCTAATTCTTCTTTTCACTATGGTACATAGACTTTATGAATTTAAGTGCAGTACTAGATTGGCAGAAAGGTCTTGTCATTTTACAGTTGAAACGGCTAGATGTAACTGTAAGTTCTATGCTAACTTTTCTTGTACTTCTCGCTTGTGGAACTCTCTTCCGGCGTCTTGCTTTTCAGTCAACTTTGATCTTCAAAAATTTATATGCAATTTCAATCATTATCTTCTGTTTTCTTAATTCCTGTTTTTTTATTATTTCTCTGCTTAATAATTTCTTTTTCTCATATTTTCTCACTCTCGGTCACCCCTCGCATCTTAGTAGTTTTATAAGTCCCTGCCTGATGTGAAATGATTTTAAAAAAAAATATCTCTTAATTGATATGCAAGTAGATGCTTGGGAGAAATCGGTGAACTGCTTTTGAATATAGGTTGGTATCATTTGATTCACTTTTGCACAAATACTCTTGAGAAAGGTATGAATCCATATCTTCTCCCCACAGCTATGGGTTAAATAGGACACTAGTCATAATTGTCAACCAATATTGGAGAAGGAAACTCTGAATTCAAGATGGTATATCAACCTGGTTTGGCACATACTTGAATTTTAACTTTTGCAAGATCTTTTTTTAAAAGAATTATTTTGTGCTGACAGATTTTTTAATATGAACGAATTTTATATAGCTAACTAATGAGGAAAAGATTCCACTCAATTTAAATTTGGTTTGAAATACACCAAAACATTTTCTTTATTGGCAATATTAAATTTAATCTATTAACTTTGGGATTAAAATAATTTTCATTTTTTAAAATGCATTTCAAAATTAGGTATAGAATTTTTAATAGTTGCTTTTTTTATTTTTATAACAATACTTTAAGACAAAGTATCCGAATATTAAAGAAAGCAGAATGGATTGGAAATAACTGACGAGACTTAAATAAACATAAAATAAAAATAGTCAAAACCTTTTTAAAAAATACTCATATATACCTGAAATTTGACAAAATAAATTAAATTTGGAAAAGGGGAACAACTCCTTAAAATATTTTTATGAAATCTAAGGGAGGTAACTTCTAAATTCTGCTGATAAAAAAAAACTGCTCTATCAATAACGCAAGATTGGCAATAAGCTTACTCCACTGCATTTGTGAGAAAGGAGCTGCAGAGCGGAAGAATCATCCTCTACAAAACCAGGTATAGGACTTTGAGCTCTATCAAGGCTGGAAAGTGAGAATTAGGATAACCCAGCCCAGATATGGTGGTAATTCACGATTTTTGGTCTCTAACCAGACGTGTATTTGTAATTAACGTAATTAGATAAATTTAATTTTGGTTGTTGCTTATTTCAAATACACACACACACACACACACACACACACACACACACAATGTATGACAAACTGGAAAATTTCTTATGACGCGTTTCATCCATTAGGATTTCATCGGACTGGGATGTTGCCACGTCTACACATGCACACGGAATGAGAGACGCAGGTAGTTTCAACATTTTTTTGAAAGAATATTTTTGAAAAACCAATAAACACCGCTAAACTCCAAATTCCAGAAGCGAGAATGCAATTTTGTTTCTTTTCTTTCTTTTATGTATATTTTCGTTTTTTTTTTTTTCGATCACCCCCCCTCTCTCATCATTCGTAAATTTTTTTGAAAAAAAATGGAATTTTCAAATTTTCATATCATGGGGTACGTTTTTGTAGAGTGTATGAGGTTTTATGGCGAATGGAGGATTGATTGATGTAGTAAATTGTAACGAGTGAATGGGTCGCGAAACGGATTAGCTAGGTATAGGTTAGCAGTGATTTTCGGCCTTGTGCCACAATTTTGTATTTTTAGAAAATATATCTTGTGAGAAGTCTGTTGTCACTTTTGTGACAACAGCGTACAAGCAGTATCCTCATTCACAGGTTAGCCAAAACCACTGAAAGTAAAGATTACAACGGAAGAGATTTCGAGTGCAATATTGAAACTCAACAACAACAGAGCGACAGGACGTGATAGAATATCAGCAGAATTAGTGAAATATGCACAAATTGAATTAAATATTTTACCTAAAAAATCAAATTATTTCCGATATATTGATGATACTCTATTAATATATCCACGTGATACTAACTTACCAGATCTTGTAGATAAACTAAACAAATGAATATTTTTGAAAGAATATTTTTCAATTTCTTAAAAAAGAATCTAAGAAAGTTAAAGATAAACCTCTCCCTACCAATAGCTAAAATAATACAAATTTGATATCTCATCAATCATTGTCATTTCACTTTCAATAACAAGTTTTACAAGCAAAAAATTAGATTACCAATGGGATTCCCTCTCAGTGGAGTGATGGCATGTACTTTTCTTGGAATTTCTCTTGTCTGGTTCCTTCCAACGTTTTACTTAAAAAATCAACTTATTTTCAATATATTGATGATACTTTATTAATATTAACTTAACAGATCGTGTAGATAAATTAAACAAAATTGAACACACAATAGAATTCACATACAAAATAGACAAAAACAATCCTTTATCTTTCTTAGACATCATGTTACACCGAGCAGACAATAGCTTACAACTTAGTGTCCACCGAAAATCAACCAATGAAAATGACTTAATAAACTTCTATTCCCATCATAACAACAAAATAAAATCCGGAATGATCATTGGATTCGATTTAAGAGCAATCAGAATTTGCAGCCCTCAATATGTACATGAAGTGGAAAAATATATTGAAAATACATTCAAAACCCTTCAGTAACCTAACCTTTTCATTTTCAATGCGAATCAAAAGGTTCATAAAATATTCCAAAATAGGAGAGCTGTCCTTCATGACGTACCCAACGAAAAAAATAAAAAAATACTATTCTACTCACTAACTCTATCACAACTACAATTGAAGAGAATTTATCTAAACTCAACGTAAAATTTGTCACAACTACATCTAAAACAATCAAAGACTTAATCAATAAAAAACAAAACAACCAACCAAACTTTGAAGGATGAATTTACTCTATCAAATGCTGGAATTGCCTGAATGAATACTTTGGAGAAACCTCAAGAAGTGTAAACAAGCGACTTATATGAACATAAAAGGGACATTTAAAAAAGAAAACAACACATAAAATGCATTGGTTTTTCACCGTAACAAAACAGGCCACAATTTTGACATAGGGAATGCTACTTTGATTAAAAGAGAAAATAATCTCCTGAGACGAAAATGCCTGAAAAGTGCCTTGATCGCTAGTTTAGCAACGGTAAATTTGCGTCCAGGCGCTTAAAATATATCACTATTCTTCATAGATTTCCTAGTGTCACAGTGCAGGATAGTCAGGGAAAAAGGTGATGGAGAGGAAAGGAAAAAGAATACAAATGAATTTAACTAGATTGAAAAAAATATTATTTAAAAAAAAAAAAAAAAAAAAATGAAATTACACGCATCTCTCGTTTCGTGCGCATGTGTAGACGGGACGAGATCAACAAAGGCCAGT